TGTGTTTGTTTGTGTGTGTGTGTGTGTGTTTGTGTGTGACCAAATGTCCCCACAAGGATAGTAAAACCTGACATTTTTAAAAATTTTAGAGGCAAACAAATGATTAAAAATAGTAAATGATGTTTATCTGAAAGTGTAAGAAGTCAAACAGGTTTTCTGTAAGGGGTAGGTTTAGTGTTAGGGGATAGAAAATATCATTTGGTCAGTATAAAAGTAATAGAAGTCTATGGAAAGTCCCCACAATTCACAGAAACAAACGTGTATGTGAGCAGAATGCGAGTCAGGAGATCGGCGAGGAGGTGGAGGATGGTGCTGTGTTCAGCATCACGCTGAGGAAGGTCCAGATGTACCAGTCGTCCAGTAAGAGTCAGCGCTGGCTGGGTGTGGACTCAGACTCGGGCCTCAGTCTGTACGAGACGTGTAAGCTGCGCACCATTAAAGCAGGAACACTGGAGCGGCTGGTGGAGTACATGGTCACCGCCTTCAGAGGAAACGACTCCACCTACGTCACCATCTTCCTCTGCACCTACAGGACCTTCGCCACCACCAAACAAGTGCTGGACCTGCTGCTCAACAGGTGACACACACACACAGAGACACACTCACACACACACACACAGAGACACACACACACACACACACACAGACAGACACACACAGTCAGACACAAACACACACACACACACGGACAGACACACACAGACACACACACTCACTCACTCACTCACTCACTCGCACACACACACACACACACACACTCACACACACACACACAGAGACACACACACTCACTCATACAGAGATACAGAGACACACACACACACAGAGACACACACACTCACTCATACAGAGACACACCCACACACACACACACACACACACACAGACAGACACACACAGTCACACACACACACACAGAGACACACTCACACACACACTCACTCTAACTTGTGCACGGTACGAGTTAAAGGGGTGGTTCACTGGGATTTTTCTAGGCTTGATTGTGTTTATGGGGTGCA